GGACGACGCAGCCTTCAAGACCCCGCGGCCTGCGGGGGGCTCCCCAACTTCACGTGCCAACCTGCTGGCCAGGCTCTTACTGCCCAGTGGGGTCACAGCCCCGCAGCCCCGACAAGCACAGTCCCAGCACGTTGGCTGGACCCCACCCGGGAGAGGCCTCTCCAGGGAATGGACGGCGGCTCAGGCACCCCCACTGAGGTCTCCCAACAGAGCCAGGAGGCCCAGAGGCCAGGACCCCTCGCTGAGAGGCCGCAGCTCCTCATGGTGCTGGGGAAGCCCCAAGCAGAGGGGCCGATCCTGCTCCCTCTGGAGTGGACGCATCGCTTGTTCGGCTTCCGCTGACATCCAGGCTCTCGAATGACTGATTGTGAGTCTTGCTGGTATCTTGGTCGCTTTGGGAAGAGCTGATCTTCATCATCCTGGACGCCCTGCCCAGGGCCGTCTTCCTGAGGGGTCAGGGAGGGCCGCAGTCAAGAGGCAGGAGTCTGCGGTGGGCGAGATGCTGCCACACACTCTCTGGCGGGCAAAGCAGCTCCGGCCAGCAGTCCAGGCCCGAAGCCCAGGCCTCTGCTGGCGTCTCCGCGCTGGGGCCCTGGTGGGAGGAAGCCCCGGGCAGCGGAGCCCAGCTGGACTGCAGCGCCCTGGCCTGAGCGCTGTCACCCCAGGAGGCCGTGCTACTGGCCACGGATTCCTCCCCATGAGAGGGGCTGCCGGCAGGTGTGGGCGGGACAGGCAGGGCTCCGGGCCCTTGGGGTGCTGACTGGCCAGCACTGAGCCTGTGGGCAGGCGCTCACCGCTGCTCAGGAACCGCCTGCAACAGCCCTTGTGCCAGGACGATCCTGTGCCCCGGGCCCTGGCCGGGTTCTGGGGAGGGGCAGGCGTCCCCCTCGCGCTGCCCCCACTGCTCATAGGGACACAGGCGACCCCACGTGGGCAGAGCCTTCGCTGCCGGGTCAGCCCTGGCAGAGCCTGTCCCCAGCTGGGCCTGTGAAGGTGGCCACGGGGCTCAGACGCCTTGTTCCCGGGCCCCCCCTCTGTGGCAGGCCCGGCTGTGGCCACTCTGAGAACAGGCTCCTGAGTGAGAAGCTCCGCACCTCCAGGCCTTGGAGAGAGGAAACGCAGACTGGCCAGGGCGCCGCCCGCACTGCGCGGGGACATGCACGGGGCCGGAGGCTTCTGCGGGGGCAGGAGGAAGGGCTGCACCCAGAAGGGCGTCCCAGGTGACGGCCGCACGGTCTGCGCCTGCCCCGGCCAGGCCCAGCATCCCAGTCACACCTTCTGCTTCTGCTGGCCCCGGGGCGGGCCCCAAGTGGCCCTCAGGGACTCTTGTCAAAGTCCCAGGGAAGCTGCCCAGCTCGCCGTGGTCCCTTCCCAGATCAGCCGCCCCTACGGTCTCCGCTCACAGCAGGCCCAGCGCAGGCCGATCACAGAGGCAGAGGGCGGGCGGCGGGCAGCAGTCGAGTGCCTTCGTGCCGACGAGAGCACGCGTGGACACCCCGACGAGAGCCAGGCAAGCCCCGCGGCAGAGCCCAGACCACGGACACCCCGTCCCCAAGGGCCCGCCAGCCCGGCCCCTCCTCGCCTGCCCCCACAGACTCCCCGGCCACCGCCCTGGACATCCACACGACGGGTCCTCCACCCCCAATACCGGCCCCGGGAGCCCAGCTGGCCCGGGAGAGAGCCCCCCACCCTGTCCAACCGACGGTGTCCATGAGCGGGCTGGCCGTGGTCCACCGGCACAGCGCAGCACGCGAGCCAGCGTCCCCGAGTCTCTGCACCCACTGGCCCGGCCTGCGCAGGGACACGCCTGTCTGGGGGCCGCAGCCCGAGCCCCCCCGGCCGCCCTACCCAGGAAGAAGAACCCCCGCTTAACGCCCGGCCCCGCAGCCTTGGGACTCGGTCTCCGACTGGGCGCCCGGCCAGCTCCGTAAAACTTTCCATGAGGGAAGCTTTTGTTCTCTGCCGGCAGGCCCCGGCAGGGAGCGCGCGGGAGGAGCACACGGCCGCCGGTGCCGCCCGTCCACCTGCCACTGTGACCACATGGGGGCTGCAGGGCCGAGTGCGGGGCTGGCGGGGCCGGGGGCGCGGGCCTTTCAGGTGGGCCGGCAGCACCCTCAGGCCCCGGCCCCGTGCGTGACGGAGACCACGGAGTGGGCGTGAGCGCGAGCCGCCCACATGGCACAGCAGGGGGGGGCCCCGGGGAGGGCGACTCCGGGGGGAGGACCCGGGGAGGGGAGGCCCTGAGGAGGGGGGCCCCTGGGACCTCCATGGCTCAGACCTCCACAAAGGGCCACTCACACCCGTCGCAGGAGCCCGGCGGCCTTCCTGCATTTCTGAGCTGCTTTGGCAACGCGGGGCCGTGGCCCCACATCCCCCGATGAGTCCTTGTGTCCCTGCGGGGTCCAGACCCCGGGGCCGACGGTTCAGCCTCCCAGACGCCGCCGAGCCAGGGATCAGCTGCGACTGACTCCCCATGGCCCGAGAGCAGGACACCCCTGGGCGGCACGGGCTGCACCCCGGCTCCCCACCCTGCGGCACTGGTGGCCGTCCACGTGCTGGCCCATGCCTCGGGCGGCACCCTCGGGCCCTGAGCCATGCGGGCCCGACGTGCCCCCAACTTCTGGGCAGCGACACCTGCCCTGCGGGTGGGACTGGCCACAGCGACATCCTTCTGGGGCCCCGCCCTGGGCGTGGTGTGGCTGGCCCTGCTGTCCACCTGCTGCTCTGCAGGTCCTGCTGCTGGACGGCAGGTCCAGCCCTCGGGCAGCGGGACTCCGAGAGGAACACGGGTCCCTGCCAAGGCCCCGGTTCCAGGACCCGGCTCGCAGGAAGGCCCGGCAGGGGTGTGGCAGCTGGCCTGGGGCGCTGGGCCTCTCCTCCGGCCCCTCAACTACCAGAGCTGCTGCCAGACCCCGTGTGAACGGCCCAGGGCCAGGTTGGCTGCCTGATGCCCACCTTGAGCTGTGGCTTCTCCTGCCCGACTCAGCTGAGACAGATGCGGTGGGGCTCCCCCCACCCCCGGACCCCCGCCCCGCCCAGCAGGGCTGCCCCGGGCGCGGGTGGCAGGACTGGCCTCTCTGCGGACGAGGAGGAATTAATGAAACATGGGCTGAAATTGGATTACTCTGGGCTCCGCGTAACTGAACCAAGAGGGTGGGGGGTGAGAAGAAGCCCCCGCCCCAGCCTCCCCAGCCCCCCAGCAGCCCCTGACCCCAGGCCAGGCCCACACACCAGCGAGGTAGGGCAAGTGCCCGCCCGCTGGAGCCTTCCCTGCCCCCAGCCGCCGGCCCCCACCCTGCCGGACACGCCTCTCACCACCCACTGCCCAGTGCCAGGTGGGTCAGGGCCCAGCAGCACTCTCCGCTGCCCCAGGGCCCCCGTGAGACACCCAGACCCAGGATGGCAGGTGCTGGGCAGCGCTGGCTGCTCCACCTGCCCCTGGCGGGGACGCAGCACCCTGCAGCCCCCTCTGCTCGCTCAGTAGGACCCGCCCACGGTCCTGAGGGAGCCGGAGCCTGGCTCGGGCTGTCAGGGGAGGCGCTGGCCACTGCGGCCAATGGCCATCCCCACAGCAAGGGTGTCCTGGCTGCCCAGAAGGAGCCACTACAGCATCCAGTGGCCACCTCCTGGGCAGTGCGTCCGGCCTGCAGAGCCTGGGGCCCGAGTAGCAGGAAGCCTGGGCCAAGGGGCTGCACAGCCTGGTAAGGGCTCCCTGGGCAGGCCCGCGGGGCATTCCCGGGACACAGCCACTCCCTCGAGCCGGGCTGCACACGCCTGGTGGCCAAGGCTCGCCCCCGGGGCTGGGTCACGGCGGCCAGCACTCCTCACGGCGTGGACGCATCCACCACGTGCTCCTCTGCAGGAGGCCGCTGGCCAGCTGCCTGACTCCCACCCCGGCCAAGCGTGAGGGCCACCCCACTAGCACGACAGCAACTGGGCCCTGCAGACGTGGCCAGGAGGGCCCGAGGCCCCAGGACAGCACTGGGGCCGTGCGGGAAGATGACCCAGCCAGAGGGGGAGGAGCACACGCTGGGTCACGATGAGACGGGGCCTGAGGCATGGCTGCTGACCGGGCAGACGTGGCCTGAGCCAGCTCAGGGAGGACGCGGGGGGCGGCGGGCGGGTGGCCTTGTGGGGCTCCAGGGTGTGGGGCTCCAGGCCGGCTTCCAGGGTGTGGGGAGGGGTCAGGCCACGGGGCCGGCCGCACAGAGGGGTCTGCTGCCTGCGCTTCCCGCACACCCCTTGCCTGCAGCATCCTGGCCAGCGAGGGGACACCGCAGCTCCCGACTGACCGCTGCAGGGCAGGGCCGGCGGCTCGCCTGCACCGGGCAGGGAGGCCGACGTGGTGTTTCGGGAGGCGGGTGTGGTTTTGCACGCTGGCCGGGGAAGCCGAGGCTCCGGCCTCCATGTGGACACCCGGGCAGGCGGCGGGTCAGGGGCCTCTGTGGACCGTCTACTCTGCACTGCACCGCTGTCCCGAGCAGTGAGGCTCTCCGGTGAGGCTGGCGGCACCCGCGGGGCGGCCGGCATCAAGAGCTGCCCAGAACACGCGCTCGCCGCCCAGCAGGCCCTGAGGGCTGGGCGCCTGGACGGCTCTGCTGAGCTCGAGGCCTGTGGGTGGGGCTGGCGGGCGACGGCGCCAAGCCCTCCAGCCCCAGGGCATTCCACGCCGCTGCCGGCCGCTTGCCTGCACACCCTTGCCGCGGGCACCGCGGCACTTACCGTCGTCCAGGTCCAGCTGGTCCAGCTGTCGAGGCTCTCGCTTGACCGCTACGGGGAGGGGGGCCAGCCCACGACCGCCGTCCTCACGCGGCGCGGACTGGGCGGGGGGCGCGCTGCGGGGCACCTCGGGCGGCTGGCGCGGCTGCGGGCCCGGTGCGGGCGGGCGGGCGGGGCTGCGGGGCTGAAACAGGCGGCTCTTGGGTGACGGACGGCGGCGCGAGCAGGGGTGGCGGGGACAGAGCTGCGGCCGGAAGCAGGGCTGCTCGGGGCGGACTCACCTGGGGCTGCAGCAGGGCGGGGGGCGGCTGGGGTGAGCCGGGGTGGGTGTCCGGGGCCGGCGGCTGCAGTCCGAGGTGGCAGTGGCCGGGGCTGGCGGCGCCCGTGCAGGTGGCGGGTGACAGGTCGTGCAGCTGCGGGCTGGCGCTGGGCGGCGGCGGGGCCAGGGCACTGCGCTGGGGGCAGGGCGGGAAGCCGGGCAGCAGGCAGGCGCCTGGCTCGGGCAGCAGGGCCAGCGGCTGGCCGTAGCAGGGCCTCAGGGGCGGGCTCAGGCCCTGGCTCGCGGGTCCGTGGGGTAGGACAGGCTCGTACTCGTCGGCCGGCTCCGTCTTTATGACCGGGACTGCGGGCGGGAGAGGGGCTCGGTGAGTACCGTGCACACGCGCGCGGCTCCCGCCACGCCCTGCCGGCCGAGCTCCGCCCGCTCCCGCCCCTGCAGAGGGCGTGTGAGCTGCTGGCCCTGAGGAGCTGCAGCTGGATGAGGGCCGCGGCGCAGCTCCTGGGTGAAGCCGTGAGCGAGCGGTGTTGCTCTGGACCCTGGGCCCAGCTTCGGGGCCCAGAAAAGCGGAGGCCCTGGGGCCGCCGACACTGCCTGGACCATGCACCGCTAGACATGCAGGAAGGAGCCAGCAGACACTGGCGAGTGTCGGACGGGGGGCTGGGCCCCCACAGAAGCCCTTGTGGCCCTAGGGTTCTTTCAGCAGGAGCTGGAGGGCTCCTGGTCGCTTCTGGAACGTTCTCGGGTCCCTCCCTGCTAGAACGCTGATGGGCCGAGGGCTCGGCTGGAGAGGGGGCCTTGTGGTCTGCCAGGCGCAGAGTCCCTGCACCGGCCTCGCCTCTGCTCTGGTGTGGCTCCTGTCTGGCTCCCTCCTGGGCCCAGGTCCTCTGGCCTTCATGTCCACTTGCCTCCAAGTGGCGCAGGAAGGCTGAGAGGGGAAGCAGGCCGGGGCTATGTGGCCGGGCATCCTCGCCGCAAGCCAGACCTGGGGAGTGCATTGTCAGTCTCCACCCGGGGCGCCAGCACCGGTGTCCAGGGCCTGGCCAGCGAGCCTCCTGGGAAGGGCAGGGCTTCTGTCTCACCAGGGCACCACTGGTCAGCTCTGGACGGAGTTGGCCGGCAACCAGGAGGCTGAACGACCCTATGGACAGGTCTGTGTGGCGTCCCGGGGGAGGGATGAAGCCCCTGCCGGGGCCAGTGCTGGGAGCCGGCCTCAGCCCGGCGGGAGCAGGATGGCGTGGAGCCTGGAGCAGGGCCTCGAGCTCACGAAGGGCAGAGCCGCAGGCCCTGCAGGGTTAGCCAAAGCCTCTGACCCTGGGGCGCCAGCCCCAAGATCCCACTCAGATGAAAAGCGGGGGCCAGGCAGCCCCCCATGTGCAGTCAGGGTGGCGGCCCCACAGCTGGCGCGAGGGATAGGTGGTGGCTGTGCCACTGCGCCGTCACAAGCTGGACATGGCGACACCCCGCCTGCCCCAGAGAGACTGCAAGCCCAGACCTGGCCCAGGCAGCCCCGGGGGGCAGGTGCTACACTCGAGGGGCCTGGGGACAGGGGTCCGGGAGAGAGGCGCCTCGTCTGTGTGCTCCCCTCTGTGCCCCTCCACCTTCGCCTCTGGGCGCACCTGAGCACAGGGCGGGAGCCACAGCCTGCCACCAGCTGCGAGTCGGCCCACGGGCTCCTCTGGGCCTCAGCCTCCCCGCCACAAGTGAGGGACGGCACCCCCTCCTCAAAGGTCGCGGCAGACACGCCTGTGGGGACACTGAGCGGCTGCAGAGCCTGCCCCACGGGTCTGCAGGAGTGCCCCACGTCCAGACCGCTGCCCCAGGTCCCCGAACTCCCCGCCCAGGCCCCAGCCCTGCAGGGCGCCCGAGGCCCGGCCTGGCCCCACACGCAGCCGCATCACACGTGGCCGACCTGGCCTTGGCCATCTGCTCCCCTTGGCCGGCAGCCCATCTAGGGCCCCCACAGCTCACTCCCGTCTGCTGGGGGAGGGGGATGTAGAGGCCGGGCCTGACCGAGGAGCCCTCGTGCACCAGGTGGCAGGGGGCCGAGAAAGTGACCACCTGGAGTCGCCAGGGCCTCGCGGGCACGGCTGGAGACCCCTGCAGACTCTGGACGCGGTGGGCTTCCCGGCCACCGCCCTGGCTCCCTGTGCTGGCGAGGGGCCCCCTGCTCGCCCGGGCCCGGCAGCCGAGCCCGACAGGCCCCGCCCAGCACCAGCAGCTCACACCAAGGCCCAGGCAGAGCCCTCTCAGAGCTGCGCGTGGACACAGCCACAGGCACGGCAGCAGCCAGAGGTGGGAAGAGCCGTGTGGACACACCCGCCTGTGTCTGTGCATGTGTGCGAGGCTGGTTGGGTGTGCACGGACCTGTGTGTGCGTGTGTGTGCACACCTGTGCACACAGGTGTGTGCATGTGTATGTGTGTGTGCGTGTATGTGCACACCCATGCTCACACACCTGTGTCTCTGTGCCCATGTGTGTGCATGTGTTTGACATGTGTGCTCATGTGGCTGTGCGTGTGCCTGTGCGCACACACATGTACAACTGAGGCTGTGTGCACACATACATGTGCAGTCTGCATGTGTGCACACCTGTATCTATGTGCACACGTGTGTCCAGCCTGTGTCTGTGCACGTGTCTGTGTGTGCATGCCCATGGCTCCGTGTGCACGTGCACGTGCACGGGAGCAGGTGTGTCTCGTGTGTGCTGCGGCTCCTGGAGCTGCAATGACGTCTGCCCTTGAATCCTCTGCCGGGGAGAGAGCCCGGGGTCGACGGGCCGTGCCCCTCCGTTCCTGTCCCGTCTGTCTGAGTGTGGCCTCTCCCCCAACGCACCCCGCCCTGCCTGCCCTGCCGAGACGGGGAGCAGCTGTTGGGCACCTCCTCAGAGGACTGAGCCTCCGGGCTGACGAGCCATCGTTAGCCGGACAGGCCCTGGAGCCTTCCTCGAGGAGCGGGTGAGGCTGTGCCGGCCGGTGTCCCGGAGCACCCAGGCGGTGACTGCAGCTGAGAGCGACCAGGGGCCCAGGGTGCCCCAGCGCTCCCCAAAGCCACGACGCGCCCTTCCTCCACTCCACCTGCCCGCCCCCAGGCTCGCGCCCCGGCGAGCCAGACACAGCCTCAGGCGGTGAGCTGGGAGGCGCGGGCCATGGGGCCACAGAGCCCAAGGGGTGCGGCCCCCTCGCTAAGCCCGGAGCCGGGGCCGGGGACCGGACGGCCCGCCGCGCAGACGCCCGGGTGCAGAGGGAGACGCAGCGTGAGAGCAGAGGCGGAGGCGAGCGTTCTCCACGTGCGTTTATTGAGTGGCAGGTCCATGCGGGGCGGCCACGCCTGAGCCGGGCCGGGGCCAGGGCTCGCTGGGCCCCTGCTCTTGGGGAGCTCACAGTCTAGGGGCGTGTGGGCATGACCAACCCAGGGGACATGGGGGACATGGGGGGTACCTGGGGAAGACTTGGGGAGCACAAGCCTGAGAGGAATGGGTCACCCCTAAAACAAGGTGGGACACGGTTGGAGCTGGGCACCACCTGTGAGAAGGGCCAGGGCGGTGTCCATGGGTGTAAGGCGGTGGGGGAGGGGCTGTGGGTGGGGTGGGGCAGTGGGTGGGGCAGGGTAGTGGGTGGAGGGGGAGGGGAGGGGCTGTGGGTGGGGGCTCTGGACGAGGTGGTGGGGTACAGGCTGAGCTGAGGGTGTGAGCGGGCTAGCTGGGGGCAGGCAGATGAGCGTGCACAGCTCTGCCTGCTGGGAACCTGGGGTGCTCTGGGCAGGGGTCCCCTGAGGGCGTGTGCCGGCACATAGGCCCTGCTCTCTCTGATCAGGGGTGTCCTTAAGCCCAGCCCTTGCAAACGGGGGCCAGGGACGCAGCAGAATCAGAGTCGGAGCCAGTTTCTAAACTGCCTTGAAAAGTGTTTTTTTATGCACCAAGGTTTGCTCTGAGCCATTGGGCTCTGGGCCAGCCACGCTCGAAGTTTAATGAGGAGGCAGCCACCACACCTGCAAGCACGACCCAGCGTTCTCTGTGGGATCTGGCGCCTCGCTGGGGAGGGCGGCACAGGGGCGCACAGGGGCGGCGGGACCCAGCGCGGGCAGAGCCCCCGGCCGGCGCCCCAGGTCCTGTTAGTCAGTCCGTGAAAGGCGTGGCTAGCGTCAGCCTGACCGACAGTCAGTTCTGTGGCTCAGCCTCCACACAGAGGTTCTAGATCTTTCCATCACTTAGTCTTTGGGAAAGAGCCATCCTAGGTTTAGAAGAACTTGGCCTCGTCCCAGAACCCTGACTTGACGAGGTGACAAGAAACCTGTTTGCCCTCCAGCCCCAGCGCGCCTGTCCCACCGCAGGAGCCCGTCAGGTTCTCAGACAGAGGCAGCAGCTGGAGAGCGGCTGGCGTGGCTGAGCTGACCCCCGGGGGGGCCGCGGCCGCTGCCCAAATGTGCCGAGAGGCCCGCCCCTCACGGCCACGGAAGAGAACTCACGACTGGGGTCACGACCGTTCCTGCAAGAGACGTCTGCAAAGCGCACAGGCCTGGGCTGGCCGGCGGGGAGGGGCTCGGCGGCCGAGAAATGGCCCCGACCGCGGCAGGACGAGCCAGAGGCCCTGCGGCCGGCACAAGCCCAGGACGCCCACGAAGCCGGCACCTCGGCGCCCCCAACACGCATCACGGGGCCCCGCCCGGCCGAGACCGCTGTGCCGGCTCAGGGGCAGCCCTTCTCCGCGGCTGTGGCAGACGTCCGGCGGCCAGCAGCGGTTGCCCCAACAGGCAGCCCCACAGCGATACAGGGAGATAATCTGAGGTGCCCCCGGGGGCGCTAAGGCCCTCAGAACGCGACTGGACGGCAGCCTGCGCCTGTCCTTCAGAAAAAGCCCCCCTGGGGCTCAGAGCGGGCCCCCAGGGGCGGGAGCAGGGGGTTACCGTGGGCGGGCAGGTAGGTGAAGTGCTGGCACTGGCTCCGTTTCCGCTTCCCGTTGCACACGTAGAAGCTGACCTGCACCGGGCTGGTGATCCTTTGATTGCGGAAGGGCGGGATCTCTACCACCAGGGAGTTCTGGCGAGAGAGGCGGAGAGGGGGCCTTGAGCGCCCACTGCGCGCCGGCACACGCCGAGCCCGACTGGGAGCAGCTGGGAGCGGCGGAGGCCAGCGTCGCCGGCCCAAGTGCGGGAGCCCCTCATTGAGGAGGATGCCCCCTTGTCGAAATCCCCCAAGTCAAAGCCGGGGGCCCCAGGGCGGCTGCTGTGGGGGTGTGGGCCCTCTGGGGGCAGGCGGGCTGGGCCCAGGCCGCGCCCCTGCAGGTACACCGAGGAGGACCCAGCACACGGCAGGTGAGGGAAGCTGAGCGGAGCCCAAGCTGTGGCTCGGGAGGGGCCGGCCCCGCACACCCAGCCCTGCCTCTCGGGGTGCCCGCGGCCTCAGGAAGAGAGGCTGGGCCTGGGGGCCTGGAGCTGGATGGGGGTGCCCCCGGGGAACTGCCAGCTCCGACAGCCCTGGGGGCGCCGTGTCAGGGCCGGGCCTGGGCAGCGGGCGCGTCTCCCCAGGGCAGAGCCCGGACCCACCAGGCACCGCCTGGGCCCCCAGGAGCCCCCATGTCGCTGCCCCACCCCTCCCTCCACCAGCACACCGGGCGGCTATGGGCTCTGGCCACCCCTGCCTTCCCCAGGGGAGGGGATGCCAGGCACCCTCGCGGAGCGTCGCGGCCAGGCGAGGGCCGGGGACCAGCACGTGCCCGATGGCCCGGCCTCTGCGGGACTGCGGCGGAGGAGCGCCGGCAACAGGAGCTCGAGGCTGCGGAGGCTGCGGTTGGCACCTGGCACCTCCGCGTGCGCCACCCAGTGCAGCTGGTGGTGGCCACCAGGCTGGGTCTGCCTTGCAGCTCAGCACCCACAGCCCAGCGGGCGAACCCGGCAGCCGGCAGCACAGCCAGACCGACCTCGCCTGCCCGTCATGCGCCAAACAAGCATGTGCTGAGCAACAGGCGTTCTTGGGGGGACGGAAGTGCTGGCTGCCAAGGACACTGGCATGTCCGGGCACGTGGCACCCAGGCAGGCCCTGCCGGGCTCTCCAGAGGATGGACAGTGGCAGCTAGGACCATGGAGGGTCCCAGCTGGGAGGCCTCGCCAGACACCCCGGCTGAGCGTCGGGGGCCCCTCAAGGCACCTCTGGGGCGAAGAGGCCGCCTTCCGCCCGCCCCCCCATCTCCTGCTGCCCCAGCCTCCCCAAGCCCGTCTGGGGCACGCCTGGCCGTCGTCCTCGTCCTCATATCGCTGGGCCTCGTTGGGACACTGCTCTCAGGATGCGCTCACCCCGCATCCGTCTCGTCTGGTTCCCCGTTATTCTCATCAGTCTTTTTATTTCAAGAAGCAAGAGGCTGTGGGCCAGAAGCCCCGTGCCCAGCCCGGTGACCCCGGAACGCCGCGCCCCGACTCACCGCCTTACACAGCTCCCTGTCAGTCTTCGCCTCCATTTCCCATACGTGGTGGCCATCTAGGGGGGAGATGCTGTCACCATGGGGCCTGCGGCGCCCAACCACGCCTCCGTCCAGCCGACGGGCACAAACCAGAGCCCCCAGGGGCCCCAGCCCAGGCCCCGCCGCAACCCACGGGGCGGTCACCAGGAGAGACGGCCACGCAGGCTGCGCCCCAGGGCCCGCCGTGGGGGACGCCACGAGCCCCGGGAGCCCGGCCTTGGCCTGGCCCCATCACCTGGAGGCAGCCACACCCCACTTTCAGGGAGACAGACCAGGATGTGCCCAGCCTGTAGAAAGCGCTGCCCGGGAGTTGGGCCGGCTTGAGCCCAGCTCCTGTGCCCATATGAGGTGCCCACGCCCAAGACAGTGACCGCCGCCCACTATGCCTCTGCTCTGGGCCTGGCCTCGGCCTGGGCCCCGCCCCGCTGTCCAGCAACTCCCCCTGACTTCTGGCCACCTCGGGACTCAGCCGCAGAACGGGCTTCCCCGCCGGCCCCGAGCTGGTCTGCCCGCAGCAGTGAGGGCCCCAGCCTGTCCTGCAGGCCGGGCTGCGGCAGCTGAGCGTAGGCAGGGGGAGGTCGCAGGGTCTGACCTCGTGCCCAGGCCCGCCAGGCCACACTGTCATGTGCAGCCACGCCGCAACTGGGGGCCCCACACACGCCTGGGCAGGCACACGCACCCTCCTGCCCCGGGCACTGGCCCCGCGTCCCGCAGCTGGGTCCGGCCGGTGGCCTCGGGTGTTGCTTCCGCTTTAAGATGAGCGGCTTGGAGGGCGAGTGTTGTGCTCAGGGCTGCGCCGCCCCGCCTGCTCAGGACGGGCCTGGGGCCGGGGCTGCCCGCCCACGGGAGCCAGGCCCTGCGCTGCGGCCCGGCCCTGCCCTGCCCCGCCTGCGGAGCTGGCCCGGCTGCTGTGGGCGGGCGGGGCCGGTGCTGGGAGGGAGCCCACGGCCTGAAAGGGCCTTTGTGTGGGGCTTATCGGGAGCTGCCTGGCTGCTGGGTAGGAAACTCTGCGCAAGCCCAGAAGTACAAACGTTCCGAGTCATTAGGGAATTCCCTGCAGCCTGAGTCATCGGAAAGGCTTCCCCGCCACGCCCGCGGCCGCCTCGGGGCGTCCAGGCAGGCCCCGCTGCGGGTGGGCTCCGCGCCCTGGGCCCAGCGTGAGGGCGGCGGTGACAAGTTCTGACCCTGACCTCGGCTCACGGCGTTCTCAGGGACGTGCGGGAACAGCCACGCTGGCCGCGGGCAGACTGAGCTGTGAGGAGCCCCCGATCGCGGGCCCTGGCAGGGGGGCCCCTTGCGCCGCCTCCTCCTTGGCGGCCGGCCACGAGCGGCTGTCTAACATGGCCTAAGGCCCCGCTGTGTGTCCGGCCCACAGGCTGGACACCAGGGAGCACCAGATGGATGGATGGGGCTGCCTGGAGTCTTGCGAGGCTGACCTGTGCCCCAAGAAGCAGCTGGAACCCGTTGGGGACTGGCTGAGGGCTGGGCTGGGGGCCGGACACAGGTCCTAAAGGGGATGGGTGGGGGCAGGGCGGCCGCACCGGTTGGAGCTGGCAGGCAGAAGCAGGCCCCACGCCAGGGCCGCCCCAGAGCCTGGCCAGCTGCATGTGCACGGGGCGCCCAGGTGAAGAGACGGGCATTCAGAGGCTCCCACCCACACTCTGGCATCGCGCACGTCCCCAGGCCCCATGCTCATGGCAACAGAGGGACCAGCCAGGCTGGGTAGGAACAACTGTGGCCGGCTAGCATCCTAGGGGAGCCCACAGGGGGAGTGCCCTGTTGAGGTGAGAGTCACACTGGCTTCTACAGCTGGTCAGTAACAGACCAAGTCACCAAATGTCCCTGAAGGGCTGGCCGTGGTAGCCACCCCCAAGGTTAGAGACCACAGGGCACCCCCGGGTGGTGAGGGCCAGGCTCAGCAATGCATAGGAAGCACAGCTCCAACCCCAGGCTGGGGTGTCTCACGTGGGGCGTCCCCCGCCAGGGGAGGGTGTCCATGGAGCATGAGGCACAGGGGGCCTGAGCCCCCCACGCCACTGCCCTGGGCCCTCCCCCCTCGGCTGATGCCGTCCCAGTGGGACCTGGCCTGCTCCAGCGGGGCCCAGCCGGTCACTGGGACCAGCCCCGGCAGCTGGGCTGGAGTGGCTGCAGCTGAAGGGGTGCCGAGGCGGATCTGCCCGCTGTTAGCCGGGCCACGTACCCAGCGGCTCCCCGGCAGAAGAAGCGCCTCCAGCAGCTCCAGCCCCCATCACACCTCCTGCCAGCTGCCTCCCAGCGCATGGAAGGGAGCAGCAACCTTGCCGAGGCCTGGGACTCGTGAGATTTTATCCTAAATTGAGTCAACAAAGCCAACCCGGAGAAGCCAAGGGCAGGAGAGGCCAGCATGGCCTGAGCAGATGTGAGGCAGCAGGGCGGGGGGCGCCAGCGCCCTCCTGAGACACAGCTGGGGTCCCTGCCCCAGCGTCCAGCACAGGGCTTGGCTCAGCGCGTTCTCTCCTGCCGCGTGTGGGCACAGGACAGGGGACAGCGCCCAGGGACGGGCACAGGCAGGGGTCCTGCCAGGGCGGGGCAGGATGGGGGAGCACACCACCGGTGGGGGCAGGCGCTTCCTTGGGTGGCCAGCCACGAAGGCGGGCCCTGCCGCGGAGGCGTGTCCAGGGGCAGGTGCGGAGCTGTGGCCTGTGCTGCACTCCGTGGTCCTGGCCCTGCCCTCTCCCCGCTAGCCGAAAGGTCAAGGCACTCGAGAATCAGCCTCCCCGCGGGCCCTTCCTCACGCTGCGCCTTGATCCGCGATTTGAAACACATTTTCCACTTAAGTGTGTGATTGTGAGCTTGTGCCCAGACCAGCTCCGGCCCTGCAGGAAGGCGGGCCTGGGGCCGGGCCGCAGGGCAGCCATTAGCGAAGCTTCCCACGCAGAAAACTCTGCGCCCGGGACTTGGGAACCAGCCCCATCCAGCCCCATCCAGCCCCATCCAGCCCCATCCAGCCCCATCCAGCCCCATCCAGCCCCTCCCGGCCCCTCCCGGCCCCTCCGGGCTCCTGCCAGCGCCCTGGCAGTGTCCAGCCCCCCCCAGTCTCCAGCCCCGCCCCCCAGCATCCAGCCCCTCCCAGTGTCCAGACCCCCCAGCATCCAGCCCCTCCCACACCCCCCAGCGTCCAGCGCCCCCAGCGTCCTGCCCCCCAACCTGGCAGCACAGGCCGGCCAGCCCCCCGCCCGGCCAGAACCACACCTGCATGGGGGTTCCCGGGAAGCAGCCTCGTGTGACCCACGGGCGCTTGTCACTCCCACAGGGACTTCCCCGTGACCCCCTCCCCAAGCCCACAAGGTGCTGGACACACAGTGCCCCCGTCCCCTGAGCCAGAGGTGGGGACCCCAAGGCGGCCGAGCCCGCGTACCTGGCGCCTTCTCCACGAAGACCACCTTGGAGTCCTGCAGGAAGTTGTGGCCCGACAGCACCATCTTCTTCCCGCCCAGCACGGGCCCGCTGACCACGCTCTGCTTGTCCACCAGGGGCAGCTCCTGGGCCGAGCGCTGGGCTGCGGGGCAGGGGGAGGCCACTGAGGGGGTGCTTGCCGCCCCCAGGCCCGGCTCCGCCCCCACAGCCTGACTCCGCCCAGACCTGGCCCCGCCCCCGCCCCAGCTCCTCCCCCAGCAGCCTGACTCCGCCCCCAGGCCCGGCTCCTCCCCCACAGTCTGGCTCCGCCCCCAGACCGGGCTCCTCCCCCCGCAGCCTGACTCCGCCCCCAGGCCCGGCTCCTCCCCCCGCCGTCTGGCCCCGCCCCAGGCCCGGCTCCTCCCCAGCAGCCTGACTCCGCCCCCAGGCCCGGCTCCTCCCCCCACCGTCTGGCTCCGCCCCCAGGCCCGGCTCCTCCCCCCAAGTCTGGCTCCGCCCCCAGGCCCCGCTCCGCGCCCAGCCCTGGGGGCGCCGTGAAGGCCTCGACCCCGCCGGGGTGGCTGCGCCCCGGCCCTAGGGGCCGAGCTCCTCACTGAGAGGGGCGCTCCGCTGGGGACCCCGGCGGGCGGGGGGCGGGGGTCCCCCAGACGCGCCGCGGGGAGCGGGACTCACAGCACTCGATGGGGTTCGAGGCCACCTGCAGCGACAGCGCGCGGCCGCCGGGCTGCGGGATGTGCACGCGGAAGACCAGCCGCACGCGCGTGTTCTTGCGCCCGATGTCGGTCTCGCCCTTGCGCAGCTCGATGTCCGAGTTCCGCAGCTTCAGGATCCCCGCGCAGTCGATGCTGCGGGCAGAGCCCGCCTCAGCCTCGGCCTCAGCCGCCCCCCGGCCCGGCCCGGCCCGGCCCCGGCCCGGCCCCCACCGGGCCCAGCTCGCCCTCCACGCCCGCTGGGGTCCGGGCCGCCCGGGCGACACCAGCCCGCCGGCCCCGCTGCCCAGATGCGGCCCCTCTGCCGTCCAGCACCCCCGGGCTCCCCCAACGGGCTCGCCCAGAACAGCCCGCAGCCCGCCGAGCGCCTGGGGCCGGGCGCGGGCCGGGGCTGCCCTTACATGGCTCGCATGCTGTTCTCCGGCAGCAGCGGGATCTCCAGGACCTTGGTGTTGGAGAGGAGGGCCTCGTGGCTGGTGGTGGACACGGTCTTCCCCGTGATGCGGTGCACCTGGTAGAAGGCGTGCGGCCGCAGCAGCCGGTCATCCGCCGTCCCGATGAACAGCTGCAGCGTGAGTGGCTCGCTGTCCACGTAGCCGTGCAGCTGCGGGAGAAGAGTCGCCTCAGCCTCCGCCCGGCCCTGAGCAGCGTGCTGGGGGCGCCATCGAGGCGGGCAGAGGCTGTGAGGCCCCTGCCAGGCCCCACGCAGCGGTCGCTCCCCAGCAGGGTCACTGGGGCGCCCTCACCATGGCACACGGGCACCGGCCCTGTCGGGGTCTCCTCACCTGCGCTGCGGCTGCCCCAGTGCTGCAGGGAGCCCCGCCCCGCCCACAGCCCGGACGAGACCCTGAACATCGGGCAGGAACCCTCACCTGGGGGCACGAGCAGACGGAGCGCGGAGGGCGAGCTCGCCTGTACCTGGACACCAGCCCTGCTCCACGGAGACCCTGGGCACCGAGCAGATGCCCTAGAGCGGGTAACCCCCCTACCCCACGCCACGCACGGGGCTCCTGTGGAACAGGCGGCGTCTGGGGCCGGACATGCTGCTCTGGCCGCCAAGCGCCCTCTAAATTGACAAGATGGCTTTGAGGAGGCAAATCCCGTGGGGACAGGAACACTGACTCCCCAAAGCAAGCACCCTGCCTAGAGCGGGGTCCAGGATCCACCCTGTTCCTGCAGGACACTCGCCACAGGAGGCGTCCCTGCCCTGCAGAGCGGACGAGACTGTCCACCTCCCAGGCTGCTGTGAGGACCGCACAGAAGTCTGAAAGAGCTCAGTGCATCCCTGCACAGGCGGCGCCCGCACGCGCAGGTGCACACAGGCGGCGCTCAGAGCCAGGGCAGGCTGACCTCAGAAGCACAGGCAGGGCACACTGGTGAAAAGGCCAGGACGCCTCTAGCAAGGCCGCCAAGGAAGAAGGGACGGAGTGTTAACAGGCAGTTGCAGGAAGAAAGGGCGACACCGCCTCGGAGCGGGACACGCAGGCCGAGCTCCAGAAGGAAAGGAGAGGACCAGCCCCCGACGAGCCCGCAGCCTCCTCGCATCCGCTTGCGCGGCATCAGCCGCACACGCCTGCCCACAGCCTCGCATCCATCGCGCGTGCTAGTCAGAGCCAAACCCGAGCCCCGGGGCCTGGGAACAGAACCGGACCAGGCCTGGCTGGCCGGCCTCAGGGCCCGCTGCTCGCTCACACGTGTCCCCCCGGCCACTGGCTGCGGCCCCCAGGCTCACTGAGACGCACATCCACGGCGCTGCTGTCCACCAGGGAGGCCCAGGGGCCTCGCCAGGGTCAGTGCTGGGCCCGGTCTGGGCGGAGCCGCCGCCCGGGCCTGAGCCCCGCTGCCGAGGGGTGGGGCCCCCAGGGAGCAGCCTGCCCGCCGGCCCAGCTGACGGACTCACTGAGAGACTCGCTCCACACTGGGCCCAGGCCCACGCTGCCGTGACAGGACGTGCAAAACAAACCCACACTCGTCACCCCCCCACTCGGCACTCGGCTCGCGCTCACGAGTCTCGCGCCGAAACACGCGCATCTGTCGCGCGGCGGGAGGCCTGTGTGGCGCCGGCCGCCGAGCCCCGGCTCACCCGCGCGTCTCCCGCGTGAGGACGCGGCGGCGCTGGTGTAACTGTGTCCTTCTGCAAACACGCCATTTCGGGAAAAGAAGGACTCTCTGAAGTTTAACCTGGGAGGCGGACGGCGATCACGGCCTGACACGCCAGCCTCGTTCAAGGAGAGCGACCTAACCACGTCAGAGGCCGCTGCCCGGCCCTCACCCGGCCCCGCACCGCACCTGTCCCGCAGCTTCACAGCTGCCGAGGCGCCCCGGCCGCTTCGCCTCAGCACGCTGCCGACACGCGAGTCCATGCGCGAGGCGGGGAGAGACCGCGTTTCCCCACCGGGCCACGTCGGTCTCAGCCCCGCCCACCGGCACGTGCTGACCGGACGGCAGGAGGACCGAGGGCGAGCCAGGCAGGGGCAGGCCAGGCAGGGCAGGCCAGGCAGGGCAGGCCAGGCAGGGCAGGCCAGGCAGGGGCAGGCCAGGCAGGGCAGGCCAGGCAGGGGCAGGCCAGGCAGGGCAGGCCAGGCAGGGGCAGGCCAGGCTCAAGCAGCCTGGGCAGGACCCGCCTCTTCGAGAGGGCAGCGGGAGGGGACGCGGCCACGGCTCTCGCCCACACTGTCCCGCTTTGGGCGGCGCAGGAGCCTGCGCTCTGTGCCTGTGTCTCAAGATCCCCTTCCAGACCCAAGGCCTCGCTGCAGACCCTCAGGAGACCCACCCTCGCTCCTGCAGCCCAGTGTGACGCCCCCTCCTGGGGCCCGCGGGAGCCCAGGGACTGCCTCCTCAGGTCCGGGCCCCGGGACAGGCAGGGGCACAGCCTGCCAGGCCAGAGGGGCCGTGCGGGCTGCACCCGCCCCAGGGACCATGGGCCGTGGCCGCCTCCCCACCCCGAGGCCGCGCCCGCCGCGCGGGCAGCAGGGAAGGAGCCCCATTAGTGCTGATCAAAGGCTGCTTCGCACGGAAACGCCACATTTAGCATCTCTAATTAAAACCACACTGAGAAGGCCCGGCTTTCCCTCCGCCGCGGGCGCAATGCCACGCAGGGCTGTGACACCCCCGGCCGCCCCAGACAGCCACGCCCGCGCTGGCCGCCCTGCCCCGCAGCACGGCGTCTGGAGGCAACACGCCAGGCGGGCCAGGACACAGGCGGGGCAGGGGCAGGCCCCGGTCACTGCGCAGCCCCCGTGGCCACGACCGCCCGCTGGACCCTGGCCCAGCCCAAGGCCCACCGCTGGCCCGGCCAGTGCCATCGTCCCTGCAGTGACTGCCCAAGTGGGGGGGCCCCACTGGGGTCAGGGCCCTGAATCTCCACCTTCCTTGGGGACAGCCCTTGGGCCCGTTGGTCAGACAACAAACCACACAGGAGCGGCTTCCGGGCCAGTGGGCAGCAAAGCGCACAGGAGCGGCTCCAGGGCCAGCAGCTACTCCCTCAGCACAGAGGGCAGTGGACAGAGGCCAGCGTTCAGGAGGACGCTTGACCAGGGGACCTGGCCACAAGTGACCTGACGCCAGTGGCGGGGCTGGTCCAAGGCCGAGGAGCAGGCCCTGTCACCACGTGGGCAGTACTGGTCACATCCTGTGCCCACATGACCCGACCCGGGGTCCAGGCCAGCCCTGCCCTGCCCCAAGGTGTGCCGGTCCCACCTCGGCTGTCTGTGCTGACGTGGGGCGGCCTGACGTGGAAGCCGCCGGGCTCTGGGGGGGGCCAGGCTGCCCAGGGCTGAGCCAGCCACCCCCCCACCACATGGCCCACCCCGGAGGCAGTGCGGAGGAAGGCGGTCCCCCCACCCCAGTCTCTCGAGCGAGTCCGTGGGGCCGGGATTAGGTGCTTGGGGAGGCAAAGGGTGGGGCTAAGGGTGTAGACAGTGGGGCCCAGCCAGGGGCTGCCCCAAGACACAGCTGCCCACCCCCCACAGGTCCCGGCCTGTGTTTCTCACACTGTCCCCAGGGGTATCGGCCCCGCCTGGCCCACCCTCTGCAAACCGAGACCCGAGGGTGGGCGAGGGAGGCCCGTTGCGCTCAGAGGGCCCGGCCGCTGCAAGGGTGGGGGCGGCACGGGTCATCGCCTGGCCTGGGAGCCGCCCCATCCGCCGAGCCCTCCCTGCACCTCATTCCCAGGTGAGTGCGGAGGCTGCAGGGGGCGCGGAATGAAACTGTGGAGCGGCTTCTGGAGACCGACGCAGGTCCGGCTGTGCCCAGCTATGCCCAGCTGTGCCGGCACCTATGGCGGGGCTGTGGCCCCTGCTGGCTCTGCATGTCCGTGGGGCCAGCAGGAGGGGCCACGTCCGCCCCAGCTGCATGGGGAGATGCAGCTGCAAAGTAGGGAGTCCTTTGGGGTGCATCTGCACACGGGGATGGAAATGCCATCTGCCCGCAGGCGCTGAAGAGGGCAGCGGCCGGGAACCCTGCAGCCTGCGCGGATCAGTCTCTGGCTGCAGGTCGACCAGCCTTGGAGCAGGGGCTCAGGTGGGGTCAGGTCACCCCACAGGGCGCTCAGTGCCCTCAGCCGCGGGCCCAGGTCGGCCTGTGGCCAGTTGTTTGCCCCGGCAACCTGTCTTCTGGCTTTTAGGGAGTCCTGGCTTCCCGGGACAGAGAGCCTGTCCCAGGGCGGTGGGTGCGAGGGCGGCAGACCAAACCAGCAAAGTGGCAGAAGCTTCGGACAAGTTGTGCCTGGACACAGAAGCAGTGGGCGGGTCCACCTGATGCATGGCCGGGGCGTGGCCTGTGAGGACGTGAGCGTCCAGCCGACTGGAGCGACAGTCGTCAAGGACAGGCTGAGCTCGACGCCGGTTTAACAGCCCGAGAGTCAAGCTGCTTTGCGTGGTTCCCGGCCCAGACGCCGCTCAGTCCACCCGAGAGCGGGTTCCCCCCCACAAGCCCTGGGCCCTCCTCAGCGCAGACAGTGAGAAAATTGAGACATTTTGGAGAAACCACGAAGCCTGAAACAGTATTTAAAATCTGCGGGTAGCCTGAGGAGCGCGTCTGTGCAGCCGGCATGTGCGGGCGCGGGGCTGGGCTGCACGGGGGGCGGGCGTGCAGGAGGGCCGCCGGCCAGTCCAGATGAGGCGGCCCGGACCCCACAGCGGGACCCCTGGCCGAACACTGGCCTCAGCTCCAGGACTGCCACCCTGCGGCCCAGGAGCTCGGCCAGCGGCCACGGCCCAAAACGCCACGCCTCGCCGGGCTCAGGTTCCCGTGAGGCTCATTATTTATTCACACGCAGCTGCCGCCTGCGGCTCCCGGGGCTGGTGAGCCGAGCGGGGCTGCTGACCCGCTGGCCCAGATGGCGTGGCCCTGCGGGGAGGACGACACCAGGCCAGGGAGCTCGGCTTGCAGGAGGCCGCGTCTGCTCTGCGCCGGTGTCCAGGGCGGGATGGCCGGGCTCAGGTCCGAGGAGGGCGGTGCAGAGTCCTGGTCTTCCGGGGACATGCTCTGTCCTCAGGACAAAGGGGATGTGCCACCCCTCCCCAGAGTACCAGGCTGGGCGGCCTGGGAGCACTGCCCCTTGAGACCAGGGAGAGGGTCCCTGCTGCCCAGACCCGGCCATGGCACCGAGGACGCTGCCGGGTGGGCGGGACATGGGAGAAGCAACAGCCTGAAGAGCAGCTCCGGCCCACGCCGAGGGCCCCGGGGGGCAGACGGGCAGCCCCTGTCCCCCGCGGAGGCCTCCTCTGGGCCGCAGACCAGGTTGTCCTGAGCCGCTTGCTCTGCAGCGGAAACAGCTTTTTAGCTTCAGCACAAGCCCCCCAGCCCTCGGCCTCAGCACAGCCGGGAACACGGCCGGCCCAGAGCCCCGGCCCCACCTGCCGCCCACTCGGCCCCGCCTGCTGCCCGCCACCCACTGCCCGGGCGGCTGGGTCACAGCCGGCTCCGCGGTCGCTGCTCAGACCCGAAGGGCCGTTGTCCCGCACTGGTGGCCTCGGCCGCCTGCCCTCGCCCAGTTTCTCGTCCTCCCATCGGGAAGAAAACAGACCCCAACGCCCCCCTCGGGGCCTGCCCAGCTTGGCCTGCCCAGACAGGAGCCCGCGCGCCGGCCAGCCGCAGACAGCGAGCCCCGGAAGGAGAAGCGCGGCCCGGCCCCTCCTGCACGCCCGCCCCCCGTGCAGCCCAGCCCCGCGCCCGCACATGCCGGCTGCACAGACGCGCTCCGCAGGCTACCCGCAGATTTTAAATACTGTTTCAGGCTTCGTGGTTTCTCCAAAATGTCTCAATTTTCTCACTGTCTGCGCTGAGGAGGGCCCAGGGCTTGTGGGGGGGAACCCGCTCTCGGGGCGGGGACACCCCAGCACAGCTCAGGAAGGGGGCGGCGACTCCCAGGGCTGCAGCGAGGAGCAGGGCGGCTGAGACGGGCGCTCCCCGCCCGCTTGCTCCCCTCCTGCAGCCTCGAGTGACGGTGGCACTCCACGGCCTGATTGGCAGGCGCAGCCTCCCCGCACCTGCCTCAGGGTCTTTGCACTTAGCACCCCTGGGGGACACATGGCCGAGTGGCTATTTAGCTAAATGCAGGCATTGCCTGACCCCCTGCCGGGCGGCTGTGCACAAAATGTCAAGCACCAGCCCGGCCCCCGCGCCTCCAGGCCGGCAGCAGGGAGGCCTGATGGCCCCGGCAGACACCCCCCAGTGCCCGCCACCCGCCTCCCTCCGATGGAGCCGCCGCGGCCCGGCCCCACCGAGAAAACAAAGATGGCGGCCTTGGTGGGCCCCCGGCCCCACGTCCAGCCCCCGCCCCACGTCCGTGCCCGGCTGCCCCCAGCCGCCACGGCCCCACGTCCGGCCCCCGCCCCCCCGTCCGAGCCCGACAGCAGCCGGCCTCCCCCTCGCGCAGCTGTTCTGCAGCTGCCCGGTCAGCGCCTCCCGCCCCGCGCTGGCCGCTGCGCGCTCCGGGCTGGGCCCCAGGGGCGGGGGCGGGTACCTGCACGCTGGGGTGTCCTCCGGCCGACGCCTTCACGGCCCCCCGGCTGCCCTCCGTCTCGTAGTGGGCTCTGTGGTGCGACTTGGGCTGCACCTCGATCCGCAGCTCGTAGGGCCCCGAGTGCGAGGGCAGCTGCCAGTCCAGGGCGGGCAGGGACGGGCTGCGGGAGAGACCAGCGTCAGCCCCGCCGACCCGCACCCCCGGCCCAGCCCGCGAGGACGGGACGGGCCCCGCCGAGGACGCCGCGGACGCCGGTCCCGCGAGGGACGGTCTGGGAAGACCTGACCCCAGGGGGGGTACCCAGCCTGAGCCCCCCAGGATCTGAGGTGTGTGTGCGGTGTGCGCATGGGGTGTGTGGTGTGTGTGGTATGTGTGTGGTGTGGTGTATGGTGTGGTGTCTGCGTGGTATGGTGTGTGTGGTGTCTGGCGTGGTGTGTGTGGGATGTGGGGGGTGTGTGCTGTGGGGGGGGTGTATGTGTGGTGTCTGTGAGGTGTGTGGTGTCTGTATGTGGGATGTGGGGGGGTGTGGTGTCTGTGGGGGGTGTGTGTGGGGTGTGTGGTGTGTGTGGTGTGTGTATGTGGGATGTGGGGGGTGTGTGGTGTGTGTTTTGTGTGTAGTGTCTGTGGTGTGTGTGGTGTGCGTGGAGTGTGTGTGACTGTGAGGTGTGGAGTGTGTGTGGGGGGGTGTGTGGGGGGTGTACGTGGGGTGTGAGTGTGGCTGGCAGCCTCTCGGTCAGGGGATTCCTGTGTCGTGCGTGTGTCTGGCGTGGCAGGTGCTCCTGGTGGGGCCGGCCGGGGGGGTCCGGGCAGGCGGGGGGCGGGGGCCACAGAGGGGCGCAGGCCGGGCCTGGGTGACGGCAGACCCCGCCCCGTGCCAGAGCAGGTCCTGGTGTGCGAACCCGCGCGGCGGCCCTGTCAGGACCTCCCTGGAGACGCCGCTCTGCTGCGCAAGGAGCAGGACGTCCATCCTAAAGCGGGCCTGGCCGGGCAGCAAGGGGCTGAGCACGCAGACCGGGCAGGAGACGTTGCCCACTCCAGCCCGCAGGCGTGAGCCGCGCAGCTGCCCCCACCCCCTCCGCCCACTCAGGCCCTCTGGGCGCCATCTGGACCCCAGAGGGACACGGTCCCTGGCCTCGGCGCCGGGGGCTGCAGTGCCGGGCCAGTGCCGGCCGCTCTGTAGGTGAAGCTGGCCTTGAGAGCCTCGAGCCCTCACATGCCGACCCCTCGCCCGCCGTGCTCAGGGGTGGCTCGGCCCGCCATCCAGGCTCGCGCTGTGGCCCCCGCCGCCAGGCTCTGCAGTCCGCCCTGCCCACACCGCTGCCAGTTCCCAGCATGGCCACCGCTCGGGCCCCTCCGGGCACTCACTAGTTCTGACGGGAGCAGCAGCGCTGACCCACGAGGGTGGGGGCTCGACGGCGTCCATCCAGCACCCAAATCTCTCACCCCCTTTGCTGGAGACAGAAACACTGGCCCAGAGCCTCAGGGCCCACCGGGGTGGGCACTGTCCAACATGCCCAGCGAGGGCCAGCCCCACACCATGAGGTCGCCAGGCTGAGTCTGTGGTGCACAGGGTCCCGCCACGAGGGCCCACGTCCCCAGACCCCACCAAGTGAGCAGAGCGCGAGGCCCACGCCCCCGGCCCGGACGAGGAGCCGGAGCCAGGTCCCCTCCCGTGAGTCCGACCCTCCCTGCAGACATCAGCGGCCACTGCCTCCGGGCCGCAGGGCGCTGACCGCATGGCCGTCTGCTGTGTGGAGGCTGTGCCCACGGGTGCCCACGGTGCAGGGCCGGCCAGGCCCCAGCGGCTCCCTGGCTCTGCGGAGGGCAGTGGGCCGGGTGCTGGTCAGTGGGCTACAGGCTTTCTGTCTGTGTAGACCAGTTCCCCGGGACTCCGGGGCCCCAGGGACAGCCTGGGTGCTGTGGTTGGCGTCCCCAAGCCGCTGGACCTGGGCAGCGCTCTGGAGACACAGCCCTGTCCGGGGCAGCAGCAGGGCCTCCCGCAGCGTCAGCACAGTCCTGGCCTGTCAGCGGGGCCCTGCGCCCCGGGCTCCTGTCCAGCCCAGGCCGCGCCCGGGACCACCCACCTGTGCTCCTGCAGAGGCCGCCCAAGCTCACCGTCCCTGCGGGCTCGTGTTGGCTGAGCTGCGCCTGCAGGGTTCTGCCCACACAGGACGGCCCCATGACCTTGGGCGAGCGGCCAGGATCTCCCCGGGGAGGACAGCTGGCCGCCCTGCGCAGCCACCCAGCTCCAGCACCCTGGGGTGCGTCCTCCCTCCGAGGCCGCCGAGGCCTAACCCTGGCATCCAGTGTCCAGGGCACCTGCCTGGCCCAGCGCTCCGGCCTTCCCACGGAGAGGGACCATGGGGCCCTTGGAGACACCCGGGTGGGAGTCGGGGCCTTGGCGTCACGTGGGGGATGCCCAGGGACGCCCACCTCTCGGGCTTCATCACAGGGCCCAAGTCCACTCGGCCCCTCATGTGGCTGGGCCACAGACACCCAGATACCCCTGGACAGCGAGTGCCCAGCACAGGCCTGGTCAGCAACAGGGTCCGGCAGAGCAGGGCGTGAGGTCAGGGACAAGCCCAGTGCACCTGCGGACAGGCCCTGCACCTGTGCCCAGTTCCCCCCGGGCCCCGAGGCCACCTGGGCCTCAGCCGTCCCCAGCTGACCGGGGCCGCTGCCCCGCCCAGCCCGGCCTCCTCTCTGGAGCCACCCACCTGGCCCTGCAGGGCCTGCCTCCGGGGACAGCCCGAGGCCGCTGACCGAGGGGCTGCTGGTCCCTCTTGGCTTCCTGTTCTTGCAATCTTGTGCCTTGGTTTCCCCTTGTGTAAACCGAGATGTCCCCAGGGCCCTGGGCGCCACAGCAGGACATGGGGGCAGGGCCAGGCCAGTGCCCTCAGGCCCCACCGGGCCCACAGGCAGGCACGGGTCAGACCCGCCCTTGCCGCCGCCTCCCGCGGGCACCACAGTCCCCCCCGCTTGCGCCCACAGAGACCTCCCTGAGGCATCGCCGCGCCCGCCAGCTCTGGCCAGACAGAAATGCCCGCATGGCCTCTTGGCCCGAACAGGATGGCCTGGCTCCAACCCCCAAGAGGCCCAGGACCTGTCTGGCCCCCTCCTCTTGGCCACGAGCCCCCACGGCTGTGCCCAGGGAGAGGGGCGTTGGGACAGACGCCTGCCCTGCAGCCAGGGGCGGGGTCTCCAAGACATGCCATGAAGGAAGCCCATGGGGCCGCAGCGGGGTCTCGGGGGTCAGCCTGGCCAGAGGCCCCAGGGCAGAGCCCCAGGAACGAGGACCCGCCACACTCGCCTGGGGAGACCAGCTTCCACAAGGGTGGCTGGGCCTTCGCTGCCCAAGGGAGGCAGAGCCTGTGGACTTTCCATGGGTGCCGGACGTGTTTCTCTAGACCTGGCTTTTACTTAAGGGAAATCATAGCGACGGGGCCACGGCAGAGGCTCTGGAGCTCCTAAGACGCCTCCGCGTGGACGTTCACGCGTCACACCCGGCTCCGACAGGCGCTGGTCTGGGGACAGCTGGACACGGCCGCTGCCTGCGCTGCCCAGCAGTGCACGTGCGGGCCAGACACAGCGTCCCAGAGCGCCGCCAGGTCACCACGGCCTCCTGCGTGCTCCCGGCGCCCCTGCCCTCGGGGCGGAGGCCGCACTGGGCGGCCCTACTGGGCTTGCTCAGGCCCAGCTCTGGCAGGGCAGGCTGGAGACCGAAGTGGACGCCCGCGCGGCCGCCCGCCCCAGCGCCTCTCTGTGCCCGCCCGCCAGCCGCCCCGCAGAGGGGAGCAGGGCAGAGCGCAGGGGCCTGCTGCAAGTGCCGCTGCGCTCGGGGCGAGCGCCCGTTTCACGCCTGATAAACGCCGGAGCAGGGCCCCCAGGGCCGCCAGTGCCCACCTGTTGGGAAAGCTGTTTAGTTAAAAATAAAAGCTCCAAGCTGAGGAAGTGGGCCCCGAGGAGCGGCCCCGCCCCCCAGGCGGAGCTCGGCAGCTGCGGCGGCACCGGCGGTGGGGCCTCCCGGGAGGCCGTGTTGCTCTGTGCGGGGCCCCAGGGACCGCGGGGGGCGGGGTGGGCCATCTGCCGGGGCGGCCATGGCAATCGAGGAGAGCAGGCACGGGCGGCGGCTCGGGAGCCCGGCCGTGCGGGAGGACAGGAGCTCTGTGTGCGCCGGCCACCCGCCCACCCACCCCCGGCCCGGCTCGGCTGCCCTGGCCGCGGAGGGGCCTCGAGGGGACACTCGGGCCTGGGGGCGCTGGCGGGCTGCGCGGGGCAAGGGAAGGGGTGGACATGGAGGGTGGCGCCAGGGATGCGCCCCACCTAGCGCCCGCCCGCCCGTGCTCACCTGGCGTAGGCCGCGGGGGACCGGGGCCGGGCCCAGGGGTAGGGGTGCTGCGGCACTGACAGGTACTGCTCGCAGAAGGCGCCCTTGCGGATGTGCTGGAAGGCGGGGAACTCCTCGGGCGGGAACTCGGCCGGGGGCGGCGGGGTGCCCAGGTCCTCGCCCGCTGGCTCCGTCTTGAGCGCGCCCGAGGGCACGTGGCCCAGGCCGGTCTTGCGGGCCTTGACGGGGACGCCCTCGCCCAGGTCCAGGCCGCCGTCGGTGCTCAGGGCGTTGATGGCGGCCACGATGGCGGAGCTGGTGAAGCGCGTGGAGTCGCCCAGCCAGCTGTCGTCCGTCACGCTGACCCGCGGGGAGCCGCGGGGGGACGGCGCGGGCGAGGGCTGGGGGGAGCAGGGCAGCTGCCGGCCGTCCAGGCCGTACTTCCTCTTGTTGCCGGGCGAGGAGGGCCGGGGCGAGCGGCCGCCCAGCCAGCTCTCCTCGGTGACGCTGGCGCGGGGCGAGGCGGAGGGCGAGGGCCTGGGGGAGCCCAGCAGGCCGCAGGCGCCCAGGCCGCGGGGGAAGCCCTCCTCGGGGTCCGTGGCCTTGGGGGACACGCAGGGAGACTGCCAGGGGGACGTCTGGGGGGACGCGTAGGTGTAGGAGCAGCTGGACTCGTAGGACGAGGCCTCGGAGTTGCAGCTCCGGGAGGACAGGCTGCTGGCCGGGCTCAGGCACGCGGGGTCGCGGTAGGCCTCCAGGTGGGGCAGGCCCAGCGTGGCGGTGGACGGCGAGCGCCTGGCGTGGGGGGCGACGTCCTCCACCTCTGCCTCCGGGAAGAAGGGGCCGTGGTGGTGCAGCCCCAGGTAGGGGGTGATTTCGATGCGGGGGCTCTCCAGGGCCGGGGCGCCGTTGGGCCTGGTGTGGCCGGCGGGGAGGAAGTAGCTGGGGGGCCCGCTGTCCACCGCACCGCCGTAGCCCGCGGGGTGGCCGGCCGAGAGGCCAGCGGCGGGGGCCTGCAGGTCGTGGCCGGGGGCGGACAGGGCGGGCAGCGGCAGCCCGGCCCCGAGGCCGGCGGGGTCATAGCTGTAGTGCTCTGCAAGGCAAAGAGACAGCAGGTGAGCGCGGCAGCCCCGAGCGCCCGCTGTCCAGGCTGCCCACTCCGTGGGGCCTCAGGCCGCAGCCCGGAGCCAGCCCCGAGCCCCAAGGCCAGCAGGCGGCCGCCCCACGCCCCGCAGAGTGCCCCCTCGGGCAAGCCATGCCAGGCCCTCCTTCCTCCTGCTCTTGACGCAGAATCCGCCCTCCCAGGCCCCTCAGCCACGGCCCATCTCCGGCCAGCATCCCCGCGGCCGCCAGCCAGGGCAGGAACCCGCCGGCCTGTCTGTGTCGCTGCAGAGAGCGGCGTGCCCTGCGCCCAGGGGCCGGGCCTGGTCACCGGATCAGGGGCGTTGGGTGGGGGCGGATGGGGGAGGGGGGCGGGGGCGTGTGGCGGGGCGCTGGAGTTTTTGATATGGGGCCCTGGCCGTTCAAGGAGACCTTCCTGGGCCAATGGCTGTCCAGGTGGCCGGTCACCAGCGCCAAGGCCCCCCCCAGGGTGGGCTGAAAGCTCAGACCTGGTCTCCCGTGGCCTTGGCTCAGGGCTCTGGCCCAGGAGCCGTCTTTCAGGGCAGACTGCCCTGCTGCCCGGCTAGAGCTAAGATCGCGACAGGCTCCTCAGAGCCTCAATCACGCGTGTAAGTCGCCGCTGACTGCTAGCCACGAGCACCCGCTAGCCGCCAGCCTGGCAGCGACCATGGCCGAGAGCCGCTCTCAGAGGGCTGGCTGCCCCTGCCTCCCGGGCCTGCCCCGCACCCGCCTCCAACCCGGGGCAGCCCCGGGCCTGCCCGCAGGGTCGGGGGACGGGCTCTACTCAAGGGGCGGCCCCGCGGCTGTGGCGCCGAACCCCAGGGGCGAGACCTGGAATTCAGGGCCTCCACGCACTGGGCACCGGCTGTCCGCAGCAGCGCGCAGGTGTCCATGGCAAGTGTCACCAAGCTCCAGAGCAGGCGGGCACGGAGAGACAGACCCGAGGCCGCAATCTGCTCTGGGGCACGGCCGGGGGTGCTGTAGACAGGGCCCCCCGGGGACCGTGAGGAGGCCCCACCCACTGGCCCCAGAGCAGGGCCGGGGGCTTATCTGAGCTCAGGGCGTGTGGAGGGAGGCTCGGCCCTGCCCGGCCCTGCCGGGCCCTCCCGGCCGTGGCACCTGGGCCCTGATTTGGTTTTACTGCCCACCGAAACCAAATGCGAGGCTGAGTATTTAACTACCCAAAGGGCGGCATTTACATGGGGTGAACGCGTCAGCGCTTTCAGGCTCTTGGCGCCAGGTCAGGACCTGTGGGGAGCACCCCCCCCACCTGTCCTGGGGGCCTCGGGGTGTGGGGCCCGCAGGGGCCCTATTTCAGGCAGGCGAGCTGGGGTGGGTGGGGCACAGGCAAATGTGAGGGGGCGGGTGCCCAAAACAGCAGCCAGCCAAGGTCCCCGCCCTCCTGCCCCTCATCCCTGAGCCTGGGGAGCAGGCTAGGCCCTAGGGGCACAGAGGTGGGCCGGGGTGCAGGCTGCCCCTCTGCAGTCTCAGTTGCAGCCTCAGCACATCCGCCCCGAGTAGGCAAGGCCCGGACCAGCACCCCCGGGCCCTGAGCCGCCACCCCGCATCCCCCCGCACTCAGCCGGGCCTCGGCATCTGCCACCCCTCCCAGAGGCCCAGGGGTCACCCCGGTGCCCACTGCCGTCCCACTCTGAGACGGCCCCGCAGACACCATCCGTGCCCGTCCCAGGCCCGGCCCCTTCGGCACCGGCTGGGCATGAGCTGGAAATAGCGCCGGAGCCAGCCTGGCGGCCCCCTCGCCCCGGCCGGCCAGCAAGGTTGTAATTTTGCAGGTAACGGAAGCGGAGCACTCCAGGCGGCCCGTGTGGAGACCAGGCCGTTGGCTCGGCAGCCCGGGCAGCCCCCGGTGGCCAGCGCCTGGACAGGCCACGGGCGGTGGGCGCTTGGGGCGGGGCGGGCGGGGCAGGGGGCCGCCTGGCCGGGCAGGACCCGGCGCCCCCGGACGCACCGAGCGCCCCGGCCCAGCGGGCCGAGAACCCCGAGGCTCCCGCGCGCCCGGCCCCGCGTCCCCAGCGGCGGCCAGGCTGGGCGCGTCCTGCTGGAAAACCGCGTCCACCTTCGCGTCCAGCGCGAGCTCCAGGGGAGCCGCCGCCCGCGGGCGTGAGTCACGCGTTATTTATATCCCGGCCCGCGAGCGGGGGGCGGGGGGCGGGGGCGTCCTCGCCGCGGCTGCCCCCGGGGCGACCTGCGCCCCCAGGACGGTCAGGGTCCCCGAGCCCGCGCCGGAGCCGGCCGGCCGGCTGTGCGGGGGGCGCTCGGGCGGGGGCGATGGGGGGCTGGTGGGGAAACCCTGGCGGGGGGCGGGGGCTCGGGTGGGAGGGGCTCGGCCGGGGCCGGTGGGGGGGGTGGGGGGGTCTCGGCCGGGCGGGGGCGGGGCGGGGCCGCGTCTGCACAGTCTGCGCGCAGGGCGCGAGCTCGCAGGCAGGCCCGGGGCGCTCAGGCCGCGGGGGGCCCACGGAACACCCCACGGAACACCCCACGGAACACCCCACGGAACACCCCGGCCTCCCGGGGCGGCCGCAGGCCGGCGCGGCTCCGAGCGGGGCGCGGGCCAGGAGGGCGTCTCCGCAGCCCCAGCCCCAGCCCCAGCCCCGCGGCCCTCCCGTCTGGGCGGGGGAAGGGAGCTGCGGGCGCGTCCCTCCGAAGCGGGGAAAACGGAGCATCTTCTGGCAGCTTCCTTTCCCTCCGGGGTCCACTACAACCAACGCGTTTTTCCAGACGCGCCTCCCGCTGGGGACCCCGACAACCCGGCGGCCGGCGCGGGGGCGCCCCGCCCCGCCCGGCTCCGCCGTCCACCGCGCAGGGAGGGCACCGGACCCCGGGGCGCCCGCGGACTCCCAGCCGCTGCGCTGGCGCGGGCAGGGCGCTCCCGCCAGGCCCGCAGGCGGACCCCAAGCCCCTGCTGCGGGGGGCACTGCGGGGCCACCCTGACGCCGCCCGGCCGAGGTGAGGCCGGCTGAGCTCCCAGGGGCGGGTGCCCGGCTGGACCAGGGCCCTGCCCCACCCCGAGGGCCAGCCCCGCGCGCCGCCCGTGCGGACCACCCTGTCGCAGGCGCCCAGGGCCCCGCCGCCCGCACCCGCCTGCCGCAGGGCTAGCGCCTGACCCGTCCGACCTCGGCGGAAAATGCGGACCGCGGCCAGCGCCAGGGCCCCAAGACCTGCCCGCCAGGCGCGCCCAGGCCATGCAGGCCTCTCCCAGTGGGGGGTGTCCAGGCCCTAGGACACCGGCCAGCCTGTCCACGTGAGGCCACAGCTGACCCCGACCGGTCTCCAGGCAGCGGCCGCTGCAGCTCAGGGCGGCGGCTGTGGCCGGCCGGGGAGCTCGGTCCGGCCTGCGCCGCGGGGCACAGGGCTGAGCACCAGGCGCCCGAGCTGGGAGCCCGGCGGGCCAGGCAGTGTCTCCACCGCCACCCCCAATTCTCCCCAGACAAGCACCCCCAACACACACACACCGGCCTTGGCCCCCCAACAGCGGTGCCTGGAGGCCCCCAGCACGGGGTGGGCCCGAGAAGCCAGCAGGGGGCTGTGCTCCAGGGGTGCAGGGTTGGGGGCCGGGTTGGGGGGGCGGGACCGTGGGGGGGGTTGTGGAGGGGGGGGGACGGGGCGCGGGGGTGCATGGCCGTCGCGTGCCAAGCCCCCCCAGCCTCAGCCCGCGGGGGGCGGGCCCGGAGGGTTCGGGGCTGCCCCAGCGCCTCTGGCCGCAGGAGTCTCGGGGTCTGGAGCGGGGCCGGGGGTCCTTGGTGGTTCTTCGACGGGAACCTTTACTTTTGGCAGCGACCAGAAAACGGAAGAAGCCGGCGCGGCTCCGGGGCCCGCGCGCTGGTCTGGGGGGCACCGGCCGGAGGGTCAGGACGGCGCGCCCGGCCCCCCCAACACCCCGGGCCGCGCCCTCTGCCCGCACGAGCCCCGCGCCCCGTGGAGGGGAGGGGGGCGGCGGCCTCGCGCCCAGACACAGGTGGGCCCCGCCGGCCCGCGGCTCCCGCCGGGGTTCAGGGGCGCCCCCGCCCACCCCGCTCCCCGCGAGGGGACCCGGGTCCTCCCGGCTCTGCGCCCGCGCAGGACCTGGCCGCGGGCGCCCTGGGGCGGGGCAGGCGCCACGGGACGGGACAGCCGGGGCGCCGGGGAGGGGGCGGGGGCGGGGGGCCCCTCCCGCGCCCCCGCCCGCCGGGCGCACCCACCTGGGGCGGCCGTGGCGCCCTCGCCGCTCTGGTTAAACTCGAAGAGGAAATCGAAGTCGAACTCCGGGTCCTCCAGCCCCGTCATGTCGGACGGGCCGGCGGGGCCGGCGGGGCCGCTCGCCGCGCGGCTCAAAGTCGGGGTCCGGTCCCGCCCGGGCCGCCCGCCGCCGGGGTCGGGGCGGCCGGGCTCCCCGCGGGGCCGGGCGGCGTCGGAGCCGAGCGGGGCCCGCGGCGGGCGCGTCCCGGGGGCGGCCGGGTCGCTCGGCCCCCGGCCCGGGCACCTGCGGTCGCCGCCGGCTCCTGCGCCCTCGCCCGGCGCCCGGTAACGTGACCCGCCCCTCCCCGCGCCCCCCCGCCCGCCCCGCCCGCCCCTCCCCGCCCGCCCCGCCCGCCGTTTCCGGGTCGGCGCAAACAGGCCGCGCGCGGCTTCCGAGCGCCGGAGGAACTCGGGGCGCCGCGCCCCCCCCCGCCCGCCCGGCCCGCGCCCCGCCGGGAGGCGGCGAGGGCCCGGGCGCCCGCGGGGCCGGCGGCCGCTGATCCCGGGGCCCGCCCGCCGCGCCGGCCCGCCGAGGTGCCCGGAGCGCAGAAAAGAAAGTTTGCGGAGCCGACTGGGGCGCGCGCGCCGCGGCGCAGGGCCGGCCCCGGGGAGCACGTGCCCGCGGCCGGGGGGCGCCGGGGCGGACGCCTCCCCCGGGCCCCTCGCGGGACAGCGGGGGCGCGCGCGCCCACCCCGGCCGCGTCCTCCAGGCCCCTGGCTGTCCCTCCCGGGCCTGGCTAGCCGGGACCCCGCGTTTCATAAATGGGTCCGGCTGGGGCCACGGCCCCCAACACCCCGTGCGCGGCACTGCGGCCTGCGGGGCGCCCAGCAGTGACCCCGCAGCTCCCCGGGCCGGGTTTGAACCCCTGCAGGGCCCACGGGGCTCCTTCCTTTCACTTTCCCCAGCTGTGCGCCTGACTTTCCCGGTTTGGCACCGCGGCCAACATCTGGAGTGGCAGCGCAGGGTGACGGGGGCGGGGCCGGCCGGGCAGGGGACAGGCCGCCCTGCCGCGGACCCGCTGTCCTCCTTTCTGCGGGGCCTCAGGCCGGGGGCGCTGCCGCTTCCAGAATCAGCCCGCGTGTGAGCAGCGGCCGCTGCGGCCGCCCCACAGGCCCCCAGTGCTGGCGCCCGGCCGGACGGCCTAGTGGCCGCGGGGACAGCGCGCACCCAGCTGCCCGTCGCGGGCTGGTATTTTGCTTTGTTTTCGTTGCTGGCCTTCGGGCAAATGGAAGTTCTGTTTTCTGTTGAGAAACCGAAAACATTTCATCTTGTCTCTCTCTGTGTTGTGTTTCCTTGAAACTTCAGTCACCGTCTCACCCCACCCGAAATTTGCGCACAAGCAACAGCCCCTCTCAGCTGTGGGGACCTTTTGCTCCCGTGTTCACACAAAGTGGCTCCCCTGATGGGAGTCCAGGCCCAGCCACTCCATCCTGGGGCTCCGGGACCCCCACGTAGCTTCGGAGGCCAGCCAGGGGGCCACCCCTGCGGCTCCCCGCCCCCGCCCGCGGCCCCCGCGCCCAGCCCGGCGAGGGATGCTCTCCCCATGTTTGCTTTGGCGTGTCCCGCGGAGGCTGGTGTCGGCCGGGACTGCAGCCCTGCGCGGGCAGGAGCCGGGCGCCAGAGCCCTCTATCAGGATTAGGAAACCGCGCGGTGAGCGACTGGCCGGGAACAGGCAAGCTTTGTTCTGCCCTAGCCCAGGGCCTGCAGCGCCGGCCCGGGTGGGTGGGTGGGGCTCCGCACGCGGGCCCTGCATTCTCGGGTGGCAGTGCGTGAGCCCGGGCCAGTGCTCGCGAGCGGGAGGGAAGCTGCGGGGGCCTCCGGGCAGCAGGAAGGCCCCGGCCACGGTCCCCGAAGGTCAGCTCTTGGTCCGGCCCTCACGGCAGTGGGCTCAGGCTGCTCCGGCCGCTCCCGCGCACCCTCCGAGGCAGGAAGCTCACAGCCCCAGCTCGCAGGCTGACCTTCCCCTCGTGAGAGAAGACAGGGTCGCATGGCTGGCCAGACGGCTGGCCGCTGCGGTGAGCAGCTGAACTGGGAACCCCACAGCATGGGGGACACTTGGGAGGGGGTGTCCAAGGCTTAACAGCAAAGCTCAACAAAATAGCTGAACACCCTGACGGGAAGTGTGGGCGGGGAGGCGCCTGGGTTTCCACGCAGACTGGACGGCGCGAGGCGCCTTCCCCGGGGCCAGCAAGCACAGACAAGGCGCAAGGTGCTGGCGCCCAGTCCGGCCCTCTGGAGGCGTCCATGGTCTTGCCGGCGTTTGGTGCAGGTGAGAGCGCCCGGAGCTGGCCGTGCAGAGGCCGAGCCGCCCTCAGGGGAGGCTGTGTGGAGCAGACACGACCTGTGCTCCTGGAGGGCCCCTCGCAGAGGGTGAGTCCCCACCACGGCGGCTTTGCCGCCTTTAACTCCCTTAATAAAACGCTGGGCAGGGGGAGGCCTAGAAGGGTGTCCCTGGCCCTGCGCTGCCCTCGCCGGGTTACTCAGCTCTTTCTGGGCCAGCGCAGGCGCCAGCTGGGCTGCGGGAGACTCGGTGGTTCTGCACGTGTGTGGGGTCCCCCCAAGGGCGGCAGAGGGGGGCATTGGGCCCTGCTGGGGTCCTGCGCCCCTTGCTGGCCCTGGGCTGGGCCACCGCGCCGGGCCACCAGGCCACAGGGAGCCGCCCCGCCAGCCTTTGCTGCAAACCGGCAGCCCACGGCGCGCCGAGGCGAGTCTCCGGCTGGTGTCAAGGCTGCGAGGTCGCAAAATGGCTTTGATTAGGGGCCGTGCTGGGACCACGCAGCCCAGGGCTCTCGGCGGCCGGGCCGGCCTGCGCAGCCTCGGGTTTGGGCGGGAGGAGTCTGCCCGGCCAGGGCTGGGACGGAGTCTGCCCGGGCTGCGCTCCAGGAGGGGCGCGGAGCCCCCGACCCGACCGTCTGGGAAGCCTCGGGTGGCCTCGCGCCACGGGGCAGAGACGGGCCGGCGTTCGGCCCCAAAGAAAGCGCCTTTCATGCCAGGATGTCCTTTGTGGTTCTCGCAGCCCAAACCCCGCCGGTCCCCAAACCGCCTCCATTTGAACCGAGTTTCCGCGGCCGGGCGGCCGCGAGGCTGCCCCGCGGGGGCCAAGTGCGCGCGCCCGGCTCGCCGCGAGGAGACACCGATTGGCAAGGGGCGCTCGGAGCCAGGGCTGCCCCGGGGACACCCGGGGGGCGCGATTCCCAGCCCGTGCCGCGCGCCCGCCGCGCGTCTCCAGCGCGCAGACCCCGCCGGCCGGTCCCCCCGCCGGACCCCGCGGGACCCGCCCGAGCCGCCGGCGCGGGCGGGGGGCGCGGGGGGCGCGGGGCGGGGGCCGGCGGGGGGCGGCGGCGCGCCGGGCTTACCTTCCTCCGCCGACTTCATGGTGCCGCCGGCGCGCGGCGCGGGCCCCAAAGTTTCTGGGCTCCCGCGGGCTGCAGCCCGAGGGCCGAGTGGAAACTTGGACGCGCCCGGGAAGCCGGTGCTTGGCATCCACGCGGCGCGGCGGGGCGGGCGGGGCGGCGCCGGGCGCGTCCCGGGGCGGCGGACCCGGGGCGGACCCCTCGGCCGGGCTCAGCGCCGCGCGCGCGGGGGGGCGGCCATGGGGCGCGGGCGGCGGCCCCGACGAGCGCGCGGCGGCCGGTGTGCGCCGCCCGGTGTCCGCGCCGCGCCGGAGTCGGGGCTCTCCGCGCTCTGACGCAGCCGCCGCGGCCGCCCGCCCTTTTAAAGCTGGAAAACACCTCCCCCGCCCCCGCGCCCGCGCCCGCGCCCGCCGCCGGCCCCTCCCCGCGTGACATCACGCCCCCGCCCCCCCGGCCGCGCGGGCCCCGGGGACCCGCCGCCCCTCCCCGCGCCGCCCGCCGCTCCGGGCCGCGGGGCGCGCGGGGCGCCGGGGCGCCGGGCCGGGGCGCGCGGGGCGGGCGGGCCGGGGCGGGGCCGGCCGGGGTCCCCGGGAGCCCGCGGGGGGGCGGGGGCGGGGGGCGGGGGCCGCATGCTGAAGTCATTATGCGGAGGCGCAGGCTTCCCCCGCGGTGGAAATTTGGACTCGCGCTTCCACTGGCGGCCGGGGAGGAAACTCCGTCCCGCTAAATCACTCCCAGATTGCGCGGCCGGCGGCGCCCTCGTCGCGCACGCCCGGCCCGGGGCCTGTCGCTGCGGCCGCGCCGGCCCCCCGCGCCCCCGCCCCGGCCTGGCACGCGCGCCGCGGGGGTCCGGGGCGCGGGGCTCCGGGGCGCGGGGCGCGGGGGCCGCGAGTCTCCTGCGCGGCCCCGCGTGTGCGCGCAGGAACCCCAGAGCCAAAGGCGCGTCGCCCGGCCCGGGGCCGCGGGTGGCCGCGGGGGCGCCTCCGGGGGGCCGGGCGCGCCGCCCACGTCCGGCCGCCCCCCGCGCGGCGCCCCCTCTCCCGCCCCGGCCCCGCTCCCGCCGCGCGGCGAGGGGCGCCCGGCCGGGGGCGCCGGACCCGCTCCAGGGGCGCTGCCTGGGCCGCCCGCGCCACGGCCGGTCTGGCGGGAGCTCCGGGCGCCGGGCGCAGACGGGGACCCCGCGAGGGACCCCTGGGCTGGGGGCGGGGGTCCCGGGAGTATGCTGAGAGCGGGGGACCCCAAGAGAGGCCAGAGGCTGGGGCGGGGAACCCGTGAGGACGCCACGGTTGGGGGGACCCCGAGGGATGTCCGGGGCGGGGGGCGGGGGGCGGGGGGGGGGCTGCTCGTCGTGCGAGGGAGGCCGCGGCCGCCAGGGGGCGCCATGGGCCCCCCACCGCCCCACACCCCTCCCGCCGTGAGTCCGGGTGTCCCGACCGGTGCCCGGTGTCTCCGCCCGGGGTTTCCGGTCCCGCCGCCCCTCCCGGCGCAGCAGCGTCGGGGTCGCCCCCGGGGGCGCCAGGAACGGGGGTGGCGACGGCGCGGTCCGGGGTTGGGCGAAGGGAGGTCCGGGGGGTCGCGTTAAAACCCGGGCCCCCCAGCTCGCGCCCCCCACCCCGCGTCTTCGCGCGCGTCCGGCGCTCCCCGACCCGGAGCGCCCGGGGCCTGGGGGGCCTTGGGGGCCGGGGGACCGGGG